GGGGGGGGAGGAGGAGAAGGACAACCTGGGCTGGGTCACACTATTTACCGCAAAACATCCAGAGAAGCCCTGCCTTGCTGGCAGGGCACGATCTTAGACAGAAACAAAACAAGAGAGAAAAGAAAACAACAGATTTGGACCCAATTGCAGTCAGACATTCTTGAAAGTTCTTGTGTTAGTATGATGGTGTTTCCAGAGCACGTGGCAGATGAAGAGAAACAAAAGAAGGTGAAAAAAAGAGAAAGAAGAGAAACAAAAGAAGGGGAAAAAAAGAGATGAGAAACAAACGAAGGGGAAAAAAAGAGGAGAGAAACAAAAGAAGGGGAAAAAAGAGAAAGATTTGGATGTGATAGCGGTCTGATACATTCTGGAAAGTCCTAGTGTGAGTATGCCCTGAGAGATAGAGTTTCCAAGCACGTGGAAAACAGCCTGCCTCACTGGCAGGGCACAAGGAAGCAAAAAAAAAATAATAATAATAAATAAATAAATAAATAAATTTGGCCGTAATAGTGGGAAGATAGATTCTCAAACGTACTAGTGTGAGTATGCCACCTCAGCAAGGGCCTTCCGAGACGTCATGGATCTCGACTTAGTTTTTCCTTTTTTTTGGTTTTTTCACTTAGTCGTTTTTCGTGCCATCTCCTGGCCCGGGGTACAACACTTCTGTTTAAAGGTAGACTGGCACCGGTACCTCCCTCAACGAAAGCAACAACGTGCACTGTAGAATGCCGGCTTGGGAAGATGCGATCTTGGGTTTGATAATTTAGCTTCGGTTGGAGTAGTGGTTTAAACGGCAAGTACACGGCCCCCGCCTTGCAGAAAGTTTTTGTCGCCACAAGCAAAACTCGGAGAGGCCGCGCGGCATGGTGCGCCGTTGAAAAAAAAAATCAGCAGCCTCCGAAGTGGTGCGGGTTTCGTGCTGACACCCGTGGGCCAATGTGTGGTGTACTGGTGGCTTTAAGGGGAGAGAGAGAAAAAGCCGGATATGATTGACTAATTTGCACTCTCATTTGCGACTCTCTATTTGCAGTTGTCCCTTTTTCTTCATTTGCACTTTTAAGAGCTACGCAGTCCAAAATAAGCTCTGCTGCAGACCTTCCTAACCTTCGTGCGGCAGCAGACAAAGGCACCGAAGCGGCTTCCCTAAACTGCTGAGAGCTTGTCCTTCCCTCAGGGCAGGGTCAGCCGTCTCGCCTGGCGAGCTGACTGCTGCAACAGGTAGATCAGCAGCTCCCAACCACACAAGTAGAGGGACAACTCCAGAAATATTTTTCACATCTTCCAAACGTCCTGGCTTTCGCTATTTTCCAACTTAAAACTGCCTACTGGATCCCGAAGACCGTCTTTTTTTTTTTTTTTTTAATCAAAACCCTACCAGTGTTAGTGTTGCTGGTAAGAGCAAACACCACTAACACCAGTGTAGAGACTCCATCTATTGGTGGGGAGCGTCACCTGCTGGAAACCAGGTCCAGCGTCCCATTTACATAGCCTTTGTCTCTTTATAAAATCCCCAAGACCGTCCTGCCTTTCGTTATTTTCCAAACTTTGAGATCACTAAAACTCTCAGATGTAGCGAAAAAAGAATCCGCAACCTGCACTGCATTCTTTCTGGCGTTGCGCAAACTTAGGTTTGTGCTACAGAGACTTACTTTGAGGATTTCCCTCAATGGATATCCATCCAGGCTCAACAGCCAAAACGAAAAGTTTTTGTTTCCTACTGCAGCTGTGCTTGTGTTGGGAGAAGAAAGTCATGTCAAGCACAGCATTATCTGCTGC